GGACTGTGTGTGTGCAGTTGTACAGTACGTTATATTTGGTTTTGTGTGCCTCACAGTGAATTGTTTTTCATTTTGTTTCATCATTGCACAAGGGGAGAGTAGAAGACAGAGAACATTTTTAGAACTCAGACGGCAGACTCTGTCTTTGGTGAGCAATCTTTTAGCCCCGATTACGTCAAACGTGCAGACATACAGCTGTTCACAGAGTTAGAGAAACAGAGACAGACAGAGACAGCGGCAGAGAGGTAGGTAATGATCGTATCACATTGTTTTATTTTCAGCATAATATTCAATAGTGAGTGTTTGGGACAGACAGCAACATATCTGTATCCTGAGCAGATCTATTCTCAGTTGTATTGATCGCAAAGTGGCTGCTCTCAGAGACTGAGATAAAAACGTGTAGGGGGAAATAGATCAGCTTACAGACAGGAGCACAGTCCAGACCTCAACCTTAACCACAGGTCTGCTTTAACTGGTATACCAGTCTCTCTATTTTTTTTATACTTCTTTCGGCAAGTGTGTTGTCCTTCAGCATAAAACACAATGGGAGGACAGATGGCCACAGATGGGGCTGCAGACCTAGCAGACTTCCTAATGTATTAAAAGTGAAATCCAGAGCATGGTGCGTATGTGTGTACCCTGTCCCTGTAGCTGGTCAGATTAAACAGCTGTCTATAATCCCATGGTGGGAGCAGACAGACAGACAGATAGACAGGGCGGTCCCCATCCCCTCCTCTCCTCTCCTCTCCTCTCCTCTCCTCTCCAAGATGTGACAGAAATTGTTGTGCTATGCGAGAGAAAAACACAAAAGCATTTTAATTTTGTGTCACCCTCCTGATCTTTTCTGCTCTCTTTCATCTAAATAAAGCTGTAGCTTCACACTTATCAATATGGGGACAAACAGACAAAGCTACATTCTAGAAAAGTACTTTTACAATTGGTTAATGTAATGCTTGTTAAGATTGTTTTGTTTAGACGTATACTGTATTAATGTCCCACAGTACACATTGCATACAGTGGCACAGTAAAATGTGTTCAAAGAGGAGGTTTACTGAAACATATGGCTGCCTCCCTACAGGAAGCAGCCCTCCAATTCAGTAGCACGGAGAGCTTGTTTGTGTGTTTAAGGCTGTATAGAAGAGAATGGCAGCATCTATTTATACCAGCAGGATCCGTCTGCCTCTATCTACAACCTTGTGTGTTTATGTTCAGAGCGTCTGGCATGGGGCAAACAGCGGAGTGCCCCTCGTGTTCTTGAGGATCACTGTGTCAATGGGCCTCATGCAGCACACTCCAGAGTGGCACTTTTTAAATACAGACACCAGCTGTTGAACGCCTCTACGCGAGCTTTGAGAAATAGGCTAACACCAAGGACTGAGGCCAACTGAGGCAGGAGTTCTGCGGAGGAAAACACTGGATTCATAGTTGGCTCATGGGAGAAGTGAAATGAAAAACACATTAATGTGACAGTGATTTAATATGTTAGTTGGTGACTGCACTATATTAACACTGCAGCTGTAAACAGGATTTCAAACCAGGGTAAAGATGTGTAAAAGCTAGAGCAGGACTTCAAGAGAGGTGTTGATAGTATTTCTACTTACTTATTTCTACTTCATAGAAGTATAAGAGATTATTACTGGCTGCCAGTGGCAGTTCTAACTTGTATGGTCCCCTGGGCAAACACCCCCTTCAGCCCCCCCGCTCCAGCTACAACTAAATACTCACTATTCTGCACAAACTGTAACTTTTTTATCAACATCGTTCTTAAAAGTTATGATAAGTTTTTAATAAAATATAATAAATAAATTAAAAATAAAATATAATAAATCAGATAGGTGTAAAATCACTGCAGTGTGTCTGAAAATATTTCTGTAAATTTCTATAATAATATTCCTGTGATATTATCCCTGAAAACAAACTGTTAATCCTGCAGATATTTCTGAAAATATCTGTTAATCTGCTAAAATATTACTGAAAATATTCCTGTATCATAACTTTTAAAAACTAAATAAATTATAAGTACCAATTATATACAATCATAAATACCAAAATAAAGTAACAAAAATAGAAAGCGTCTCTGTCTCTCTTATATACACACAATTAACATAGAAAATCAAATTATTAAACTGCACAAATCCTTCATCCCACAAATAGATAAACAAGAGAACCTACTTATTATTATTATTAGTAATACTACTACTACACTATTACACTCTTCAAACAAGACACACATTCTAAAATGCACAACTGTCATTTGAAGCCTTATCTTTCTTGCTTTCTTCAATTAGTACCAAAATTATATACAATCATATATACCAAAATAAAGAAACAGTTCTCTCTCTCATATATATATTGTTTACATATACCGATATAAACAAGACACACACACAGACTAGTTCATTATTCTAAATGATTTCACAGTATTATGAATGAATTGTTGTTTATTTGGCAGCTTTTTCTGCTGTGACTGATTTTACTAATTGCATTAGTTCTGTACAGAGACAGAAGTGCAAACTCCACCAGCCCCCTCCCCATCCACCACCACCTCTGAGAGTGAGATGACAAACTAGAAATGACGCCCGCTCCGACACAGTGATATGACGTCATTGACGTGTATGCAAATGGGCGACAGAAAACTGATAGCTTAAATGTTATTTTGGGGTTTTTTTTGCAAGCGCCCCGTGCCGCCCCCCTACAAGAAGCTGTCCATGTTGTCCTAAATTCTAAATTCGCCATTGGGTGAGAATACTAATAATAGCCTAATAATAATAATAATAATAGTTGAAATGCATTTCCGTCCTCCAATCAGAAACTCAGATGATGTCAACTGAAAACAAAAGCAGCTAAAATGCCCCTCCAGCTAGCTTAGCTTAGCTAGCTGGACCCCGGGTTTCACCTGTTCTGTTCCCTCCTCCTTGGAAATCGTGGAAATCGAAGTGAATGCAGCGTTTGACGTTTTTATCGTTTGAGTTTAGTTTTTGTTTTTTCACACACACTCTTGTGTAATGTACCTTAGGTCGTCCGAGCTCGGGTTTGAGTCCACGCCTCCCGGTTGAAAGTCGGTGTCCTTCCTCTCTGGACAAGCTTCAGCGATTATCGACTCTAAGCCCCTGAATCTGACTCACCTGCAGCAGGTGTGGATCAGCTGACAGAGGAGACACCTGAAACGTGGCGTGCACACGAAGCCGGAAAGATGCGTATACACAAACAAAATTCACATGTATGAAACTGCGTGCGTAGGATTCCACGCACATTTTCGCACAGAATTATGTTACTTGAACTTTATTCACGTTCTCTTGATTGAAATGAGTCAAATATTTACAGTTGTATTTACATCCATGCTCTGTTTTCAATAGTCTCACATGGAATGAAGCAACGCAAAACTATGAGACTATCCAAATAAGCAAATGACCCACACAGACAAAAAATATAAATAGGCCTATATATATATACATATACACACATATACATATATAAATAAGAGAGACATGTGGTGGTGTCCAGACTAGTTTATTATTCTTAACGATTTCCCAGTATTAAGAATGAATTGTGGCTTATTTGGTAGTTTTTCCTGGTGGCATGTCACCTGTATCTAAATCTGCCATTGCTGGCTGCTAAGTTTCTGAGGTAAATTGTTTTATTACATTGAGTTTTTTTCCTTTTCTGCTGTGATACATTAAGAGACAGCTGAAAGGGAGAAAAGGAAACACAGAAAGGAGAGAGAATCCTTCAGAGTTATTAAGAATCAATGAATGGCACATAAATTCTACAATGTGGTTTACATCTGCCTTGGCAGAGCATAGAAGAGGGCCCTCTCTCCTTACTCTTTCATTATGTATGTACATGTGCACTCTATATAATAGAGTTGTGTAGTATTGAACAGAGGGGCCACACATTTTGTACTGATGCATGACCTGTGCTGCAAATTGATTTCATTGTTTCTCATTGCGTAGTGCACATTTATTGCACTCTCTGCCAGTTGCACATGTACACACACTTAAAAGCTATCTTCTCACAGGGTGCAAAAGTCATCATACCTCTCAGCTCAGGTTTACATCGCAGAAGGATCTGGTTCCAGCAGCTGCACTGACAGACAGACAGACACATACACAGATGGACAGTCAAGACTCTGCAGATACATCACCAAATAATAGACCTGCTGCTTATGTATATACTGTATAGAATGCAGTTTTGTGCATGGCAGTGTTTATTGTGGAGGACGCACTATGTATAGATGGCATGATGCCCTCTGCCATGAATACAGGACATAAGCCAACAGTCCTTACACATGCTTGTGGCTGTGGCACATCTACCCTGTGTCGTGTTTTCTTCTCATGCCCCTTGCTGTACCATCCATTCCCTTCACGATACACAGCCTGGCCTTGCCTTGTTTGGTCCTGGCAGGGTGTCTGGCAGAGGACAGTGGAGCCTCTAGTAGCAGGACGGAGCTCTGCTGAAAGCCAGTCCACAGTGATGGACAGCAGCAGATCCAGCTGCACTTGTCACTGGCTGTCAAGCCGGCTGTCTGAACTAGGGGACAAGAGGGGACAGGCGGGGAGGAGTGTGTGCATGTTCATGTGTGTGTGTGTGTGTGTGTCTGGGGGTTGGAGGTTATAGTGGAGGGGCACTGATTGGGATGTCAGAGCTACATGGAGCATGTATGTATGAAGGAGAGAGAGAGAAGGAAGAGAAGGGGGGATTTCAGTCAGCAGCAGCTGAGCGAGTGAGCAGGTGTTACTGTATGTCTCCCAGGCCCATGAATCTCCAACACAATACAAGTTTGGATTCATTTCCACTCTCTGCATTGATTTGTTTTGCTTCTTTTTATGGGGCTTTTGGTTTAAGGAAACAATCGATGGTTCCCAGGTGAAAATGTCAGTGCTCTCCTCCTTAACCAGCTGTCTCCACTTTGAAAGTATGATAGTTTTTTTTTCCATGCTGGAGCTCCACCTTGATGACTGTCTCTGTTTTCTCTTTCTTTTTCTCCTTTCATATCTCAGGTAGCAGAGTGCAGAAGGTTGGAACAATGCCAGATTCACCTGCGGATGTGAAAACCCAGCCCAGGTCCACCCCACCCACCATGCCTCCACCACCCCCGGCTGTCAGCCAAGCAACCAATCGCAGCGCTTCATTCACCCCCACCACCAGTAAATCAAGTAAGTTTCTAAAATTTTCGAAAGTTACATTTCGAAAATTAATGACACTTAAAGTCAACTTTATACTGCAAAATGTGCATTTCAGTATGATCCTTACCTTTACCTTAAACTATTTCAATTCAGTTATGTAGCTTACATGCTGTGAGATGTGTGTCTTCTTTGACTTGAAGATGCCCTTTTGTGTTGATACGTCACGTCAGCAGGCAGTTAAAACCAGCAAACCAGCACTGGGACAGCTCTAACTCTTCATTTCACAGTAAGCATTGAGGAAGATAGCCATAGTTATGTGAGCTTGTATCTACAGCACTGCAAATAATGCTTCTCTGCAGAGCTGACATGCAAATCTTAGCCTAGATTTTGTACTTTGTAGGTCAAATGCCATTTTGATGTCCATTAGTTAAAACTGCACTAAATTGGAGCAACCAGTGGCCTAGATGTTAAGATGCATATCATATATTGTGTTCGCAGTGTTTACGGTTTGATTTCAGTCGGACCTTTGTTGCATGACATTCCCTGTCTCTCTGTTTGCTTCATGACCACTGTCAAGTAAAAGCAAAAATGCCCCAAAACTTTTCTAAATTTAGCCTCAAAGTGAAAGTCTAGGTCACATATAACTTTTGCCAAAACTATATTTGTGTTGTAAAGACCTGCTACACATTTGAATAAAATTATTCAACCATCAATCTGTAATAAGTAATACAAATGAATACACTTGCAATACCTCAGAGGACATCTACAGTCATTTGTCCCTCTTAAGTCAACTGTCACCAACACTTTATATGAACAGAAATTCCGAATATGTGTTTCTTCCCTGTTCTAGTGAGCAAGTGTTGAAGTCACTTGTGTGTCAGGTGTGTGTCTCTGCAGGCATCTATCGGTGTTCGTGTATGTGTGTGTCTTTTGGTGTGCAGAATGCCCTTGCTGGTGGGACAAGTGTCTTTGAGTGCATGTGTGAGTGTGTCTGTGTTGTTTACCAGCTGGTCAGGCGGCGGTGGATACAGGGGAGATCAGCCAGGGTGGTGTTGCGGTGTGTAGACTACTTTCTTCCCTATATAGCAATGACAGGCCATGTTGTTTCACCTGTTGTGGCAGGCGGTCAGCAGTGTAGCTCTCTCCTTGCACCTCTCCCTCTCTCAAAAGCCAGAACACAAGCGCTGCCTGTTGGGATCACATGGGTTAGTCCATATGAGTTCAGGCCCTCGACCCACAGATTAGAGCAACAAGCATGCCGGAGAGGAACCACAGCAACTAGACTGTTGAACAACTAAACTGTATATAGTCTTGTTATCAAGTATGAGGGCAAGATTTAATGTTATAGTCTACAGTGGCTCACTGCAGAGGCCTGTAAATACATTTTTGAAAAGATTAAGTTGCTGTTGCACAGATATATTGCATCCAATGCATATTTACAACATAGGATTACAATTGTGAGAGACAAGAAGGATTCATAAATCATAAATCAATCTTAAACTGACAATGTAGTTTGCATGTATTTTGTATCATCTGGCCCGGATATGAAAATATGAAAACAGGGGAAAGGTCAAACGTGTGTGTGTGTGAGCTCCTGTGTATTTGTGAGTTTGTTTGTGCCTGCATTAAGAAGAATATGCGAGTGATTATATATGTGTATGGGTTCTGTGTCTATTCTGAACCTTAAAGCTGCAAATCTACTTTCAGCTGGTGGACAGGTGCAGGTCCAGATTTGGATACACACCTGCTACTGGAATAAAAGTAACATGGGCCACAGGACTATTTTTGGCACCTCTTTAACAAGTTCCTCTTATAGTTGTGTCCTAGTGAGTGAGTGAGTGAGGGGGAGAGGGTGAGGAGCAGGGTGGAATAGACTGATATGGGGGGTGGGGGGTGGAATGGTGGAAGGGGTCAAATGTACTAATGTACCACTTGTGAGACAGCTGAAGTTACACAGACACACAAACACACACACACACACACACACACACACACACACACACACACACACACACACACACACACACACACACACACACACACACACATACACATACACATACACACACACACACACACACACACAAACACACACGCTCACAGGACTCAGTCAAACTGGCAGAAAACTGCACCACCGAAGTCGCTTTGTGCATCATAAACTGTTGGCATGGTGTCAAAGTTGAGTCTATTGTGTGCTTTACTTAAATTTAATCTGAAGCACGCACTCAGTGCTTCTCCCCTCGTCGTGCCCCCAGATCTGTCAGATGCCCCCCAGGATCCTCCATACTGACCCAATTCACGTTGTCTCTTCCTTCTGTCTGTTTATCTGCAGTGCTGAATGGGAGCAGCCACTCTCCTACATCGCTGAACGGTGCTCCATCCACTCCTAACGGCTTCAGTAACGGGCCCGCCATGTCCTCAACGGCCTCACTGTCCAACCAGCAGCTCCCGCCGGCTTGTGGTGCCCGGCAGCTCTGCAAGCTGAAACGCTTCCTGACCACACTGCAGCAGTTTGGCAACGACATATCGCCTGAGATCGGAGAGAGAGTGCGCAGCCTTGTGTTGGGGCTTGTGGTAAGTTCTGATCATAGTCATGTGGAATTATTTTGATAGCTCTGGAAGAAAGTGCTATAACATTTTCTTTCTCAGCAAATCTTGATGGTGTCCACTCTTCTTGTCTTACTCTCTCTGTTGTCTTGGACAGAACTCCACCCTCACTATTGAAGAGTTTCACTCCAAACTGCACGAGGCCACCAACTTCCCTCTGAGGCCGTTCGTCATTCCCTTCCTGAAGGTAAATGTCTATATACAGGTTTTTTATGTAAGATATATCAAGCCTGATGTATCCAGTTGACAAGCACATAGTTTACTGCCCCTGTCCATATGGCCAGTCCTGTCCTCTGTGATCCGTCCTATTCTGCTTCAGAATGGACTCATAGAGAGGCAGGGGCAGGGAAGGAAACCTTGTCTTGATCACCCAATGGCTGTATACTTTTTTCATAATGCTGGACTTGCAGTATTATGAAAAAAAATGGTAGGACGTGTTCGTGAATGTGCTTTAAAAGTGGTGTGTGTGTGTTTATGTGTGTGTGTGTCAGACCTCCTGCCGTGCAATGATCCTCCACATCTGGGACATTGCAGCAATGGCTGTGTTATATCAACCAGACAGGTCTGAGAGAGCTATTTGACAGCACTCTTATGCACACACACACACAAACACACACACACAGACACACACACACACGCACACACACACACACACACACAATATACACACCAGTACACCCCGGAGAGTAAGAGAGACACATGGCAGAGGAATGTGTCAGGGGACCTGTCTTATCTCATCCTGTCTCTTCATCTATCACTTTCTTTACAGCTGGACCGTAGTGGCGGGGCCAGCCCTATAATCGCGAATGGCTGTGACTGATTGACTGAATCATAGTTCCACCATTGGTCAGCCCAAAGCCACATGACTGAGTTAGAGTTTCCCCATTGGCCGTCTTAATGGGCCACGTTTCAGTCACCATTTCAAACTTGTAATGAGAACAGCTTCAACAGCTATATTGAAATATTGTATATGTAAGCACAGAGCAGGAGAGAAGCAAACACATAAAGAGCTGAAACCAGCTGACACCAGCTGACACTAGGCTGAATGCAAATATGATGTGATGATGTCAGTTTCTCACAGCGGTTCCACAACAGTTTTCAAATATGTCCTCAATTTTGCACATTGACCATACGCAGCTCGATACTAATTTTGGACCTAGTCTTGTTTTTCTCACCCTAATCTGACATTATTTCACTCTCACCCCATCTACCTGTTATTTCACAAGTTTCTAACTCAGCTCTTGTCCACTTAACACTACTCCTATCTACTTCCTAGCAATTTGCTTAATTCCTAATCCAGAGGGCTTCCCTCTTTTTCTTTTGTTTTTACCTCTGAAGGCAAACCTGCCTCTGCTGCAGAGAGAGTTGCTCCACTGTGCCAGGTTGGCCAAGCAGACTCCAGCTCAGTATCTGGCCCAACACGAGCAGCTTCTCCTGGACGCCAATGCCAGCTCACCCCTCGACTCCTCAGAGATTATGCTGGAGATGAATGAGCACGGCAAGCGAAGGACCCCTGACAGGTAGAATCTCTCCATTAAACACAAGAAAACACACACACACACACACACACACACACGCACACAAGGACTTCAGAGGCGCACATACATTGGCAGACTCTCACACGGACAGCGTTATAAATTAATTCTTTCAGGGTATTTCAGAATGCCAAGCGACAAGGGGAGGCTATAAGTCCTCTGTGCGGGAGGCGGAAGTCTGGACAGCCCCGATGCCAGCCTGGCTCTGCCAGCTGTCCGGGAGGGAGGGGCGAGATACATGTAGAGTAGGAAAATAAAGAGAGGGGTTGAGAAGCAGAAGGGAGAGAGAGCCATAGAAGAGAGGAGGGAGTGAAGTCTAACCCAAAGACAGAGAGAAAGACCAACAGTGACCTATGGTTTTACTAATGTCCCACATTGTTCCCCGGCGTTCTCCTTTATTAACCCAGCTAAGAAGAAGACACATGGAAGAATTAAAAGGCATTTCCCTTTCTTCCATTCTCTGTTGTCTTCTCTTACTGGCATTGTCGTTCTTTTCCGCTTACTTCTTCACCTCTTTCTCTCCCTCTCCCTCTCTCCGACTGCCTGACCTGCAGGCTCCCAGCAGCTGTCCATATGTCAGGGATGTGTCCAGATGGTGATGTGCTGACCGTAACACTGAGCACATCCTGAGCGGGGGGAGGAGTGGGGAGGTGTGTGGTGGTGGTGGTGTGGATGGGACTAGGGGTTGAGGCAGAACGTGCAATCCCACTGTAATCCGCACACCTCCGCCTCCCAACCTCTGGCTTATACACAGCAGGCGGGGCTGGGGGTGGGGGGTTGTGGGAGTGGGTGGAAGGGTGGGGGGGGGTTGGGTCAAGCTGGGGCAGGGCCTACGTTGTGCCAGCTGTTCCTCTGATTTGTCAAATACTAGAGCCAGGGATGTGTGTGAGTGTAGCTGACGTGCACAAATATACACATGGATAACCGAGAATAAGCACACATACACACACACACACACACACACACACACACACACACAGACACACACACAAACATACACACTACAATAAACACATATCATCTACACAAACCAACATTGCATTTACTCGCCTTTGATCCCCAGGATGATAAGGAGTGATTTCCATCCGAATGCCTGGCTATTGCCATCCAGCTAAACAGATTAATATCAACACTCACATTTAAACTGTCCAGATGGCTCAAAAACACAACCTCTCTCACACACACACACACATACACACACAGACACACAGTTAAAGTACACAGACACAAATGAGTGTCACTAAACATCTGCCAAACACACAGCATCCAGCCCATATTGCCCCTTAAGCCTGAGAGCAGAGTGGGAGGGGAGAGGGAGAAATACTTGCAATCTAAGAGTAGGCTGAGGGATATTCAGATTAAGAGCTTGAGACGCAGGGTGTACAGTTGGACTTGGCTTTGTTTGATACATATGGCGTACAGCTGTGCGAAAGCTTCAGCCTTACTGTAACTGAACAACAAGCAGCTCTCAGCAGGGATACATAGACACACGTGTGTGTGTGTGCGTACGTGCGTGCGTGCGTACGTGCGTGCGTGCGTGCGTGCGTGCATGCGTGCATGCGTGCGTGCGTGCGTGCGTGTGTGAGTGTGAGTGTGTGAGTGTGTGTGTGTTTGCATACAGCCTGTGGGAGTTGTTGAACTTTCAAAAACAAGTTTGTGTTCCTTGCTCGAGCCTCCTCAAACAGGTACAGTCAACAACACCAGATGTTGTAATCTTTGAAAATAAATTATTATGACAGTTTACGGTAAACTGTGATTTCTCATTTGACAGATAATCTGTTCACCATGGCACTCCTTTTTCTCAGAGCAAATAGTCACATCACATCATACTTACATCACTACATCACTACATCATATCGCAGATTTGCAAAGCTCTTGTTGCATCCGGTCACAGTCGAGGACGGATTTCGACTGAGATTTTGAATCATGCGTCATAATTTGGCACCACTGTTCCCTTAAGTGGTTTTACAGTATGCCAAATACACATACATATACTCTACACTAATAATAGGCAATGCTAGCTCATCACAAACATAAAAAAACACAATTACTCATGAGGAAATGAATCATATCTGTCTATTTGTTTGCCTGTTGGTCTGATGTTAAGGGCATTAAGGTCTTTGCTGGGGCATGTTTTCCTGAACTATGAAGTAATACACTGGCATTGCATATTCAGCCTGGCAAAGCCATCTGGTTTTCACATTACTCATTGTGGTCTGGCGATGCCATGGATGGACTAGCTGGAGGAAGACGAAGTAGGCTGCACAAATGCAGTTCTCTTCAAACATTACCATGGTGTCAGAAACCAGTTTCTGAATAAAACTGAGGTGAGAGAAATGAGTCATGCAGTTGGAGATTTCTTTTTGTAATTGAGTGTAGTCACATTAGCATCAAAACAATTTCTGACTGGTCCATCAATGATCCGAAGCAGGTGAATCTATTCTTGGGTGGACATTTGTGAAATAATAATAAATAAAAGATTAATGGCACAACAGAGATCTACTATGTTGTAGATCATAATATACACATATACTACCACACTTCTCACTGCGGGAAAAACACTTCAGGTTTTAGTTTGTGTCCAACCAGTTCAGCTTTCATCTCATGATTTTAAATGCTGTATTGGATGTTTATTGTGTTAACACAGTAGTTTGCATTGGGTCTGCTTTTGTATATTGTGTTATAACTGTGTGGTGCTGACATATTCTACCGCCTGGCCATAATTTTCAGTTGGAAAAACACTCTTTAAAGAATATTGATTTTGTAGGCTCCTACAAAGTAGTCACCACATTAATTAGTGTAAACCGTGGCACAATTCACTTCTAACTCTACTCTCGGTGTAATATTACATAGAAGCAGCTGAGTATTTTAACATTCAGTCATGTTTTAATCCATTCTCCTGTCCTCCTCCACAGGACCAAAGACAGCTCAGAGAGAGAAGGGTTGCACCCAGAGCACCTAGCTAAGAGGCCCTGCACCATCAGCCCTAGCCAACGCTTCAGCCCCAGCACGGGTCTTCCTGCTCACCCACCTCCTAACGGCCTCCCCACACACCCTCCCAACGGCCTGCCCCACCCACCCAACCCCCAAGTGGGACCCCAGCACTATCGCTTAGAAGACATGGCCATGGCGCACCAATATAGAGATGCTTACAGACATAATGAACACCGTGACGCCCGAGACAGGCACCGGCAGACAGGTAGAACAGCTGCAAAGCATTCACATGGTTAGATAAAGCTGCAGATCTTCAGCCACATACTCCACAGTTATATGGTCAAGACGAGTGGGCTTGTGTATATGTCAGTGGGGTGTATAAGAAGAACAAAGGCCAGTTGTCACTCCAGTGTGATAATCCTTGTGGCAGTGTGGCTATATAAAGCCCACAGCCGTACATGCCCATGTGCTACAACTGTGGCAACCATATATGCCTTCCTTCTGCTTTTCCCAAAAGGAAAGAGATGAAATTGTCTCACTGATCTGACATGAGGCTATACTATTAGCATCCTGAGTGCTTCCCACCGGTTATGTTGTTTAAAAAAATTGAAATAATACATCATTGTATTGTGGATTTGATGCTGTATGGTGTTTAAGTCTGTTGACATATAGCATGAAGTTGTGGTGGTCATACGTCATTTGGATAGTCATGTGAGAGTTCTCAAGGTTTTACAAAGGCAAGGCAATTGTATTTATATAGCATATTTCTTTTTACATAACCTCAATGTCCTTTACATTAAAATTCATGCAGCAACAAGTAATATGTAGAAGAAGAAGAATATAATAAATAAAATAAAACAAAATGCAATTCATCCATCCCACAGACAGAAACCACAAAGTCGCTCACAGTCAGCGCTGAGTTTATGGTTAGAAACTGGGCCAGGATTGGGTTTGGGTTTTCCCTTTGTCAAACACATAGCTGTGTCCATAGATAGTTAATTATCCACCGTGGGCTGCTGTACTGTATAACAGAAATCTGTCCTGTGCGTTTTCATTGCAGCAGTGCACGGAGCTCGCCAAGAGGAGGTGATCGACCACCGTCTTACAGATCGAGAGTGGGCAGAGGAATGGAAGCACCTGGATAATGTACGTATCAGAGCGGTAGCCATGTTTAATGTCAGCCACCTCTTTGTTTCATTTATAAACATCATAACGCAGAGGGAAAAAAAGAGCTTAGAGATCAGCAGGTGATTAAAGTTAGTTTCAGTGCTAAAGATGGCATGCAGATGACAGGGACAGGAACTGATGACAGACAGATGAGCCTCCGTCCCATCTGAGTTAGCAGTTGATGGACAGCTGACCTTATGAGGTCCGTGTGGTGAATGAACAACAGACAGATACCTATCTGGCTTCCTGGCACCCAACTGAAGACAAAATCATGTACACTACCACACACACACACACACACACACACACCCACACACACACACACACACACACACACCCACACACACACACACACACACACACACCCACACACACACACACACACACACACACCCACACACACACACACACACACACACACCCACACACACACACACACACACACACACACACAGAAATAGGGCCCCAGATGGAGCCCAGGACCTAGCAGAGAGCAGCTCCAGCTGGGGAGAGCAGCTGAGACAAGAGCTGCAGTCATGGAGAGAACCGGCCAGGCCTGGACCCCTGCCAAATTAGAAACACTTCACTGAAATAAATATAGCTAACTCAGAGGGGAGGGAGAGGGGTAGAGAGACAGAGGAAAGGAGGCAGAGGCAGAGAGAGGGAAAGATGAATGGGAATAATGATATGGATTGAATGTCAACCATGCTAAACCCATTTAGCAGACTGGGCCGGGTCTGGAAACACAGGGCACTGTGGAGAAAAAAAAGTGACACTGTTTACAACAGAGGGGGAAGGAGAGAAAAGAGAGGAAATCTGTTGAGTTGGCAGGGAACGGCGCAGAAGGGTGGAAGGAACTGGCTCAACAATTTCATTGGCAGTCCAGCTGTTAATTTATCATTGCTGTAATGCTCTTAGACATTGAGATTCACTGACAAACTCACAATCCATGAACAGATTGGCACAGACAGTGACACATAGTCACACACAAACATGCACGTACGCTTGGTGGTATGTGTTTTGGGATGGATTAAAATAGTGTGTAGATTTACACACTAGCTCAGTGGCTCCAAAAGTACCTCGCTTTTGAACAGGCTTTGTTCATCTGACCTGTGGAATTTTTCATGGATTTATCAAGTTTGGTTCATTCCAAAATCTACTGCTCTGAACATTTTGTGTTGATGATAAAAGTTTTTGCTATTTTCTGTTAGTTTTTTTTAATGTGGGCATCTGTCTGGGAGGTGGGGATTTATATTTTGATGGAAATGTCAAATGAATGTCAAACTTCTCCTCCTGGTCTTTTATCACTTTTAAGTAAATGTTTCAACTCATCCTCAATCCTGTCCCATCTCAGCTCCTGAACTGCATCATGGACATGGTGGAGAAGACGCGCCGCTCTCTGACGGTGCTGCGCCGCTGCCAGGAGGCCGACCGGGAGGAGATGAATCACTGGATTCGGCGCTACAGTGACGTGGAGGAGATGAAAAAAGGTGGGAGCAACGGACAGCACTGCCTTCCTCCTCCTCTTCCTCCTCCTACTCCTCACCACAACTCCTCCTCCAACACAGCTAGCAGCAGCGAGTCACTGCCCATAGGAACTTCCTCGGCTGCTGAAAGGCAGACAGGCAGACAGACAGGTAGACAAACACACACAGGGCATGTTTGGCAAAGCAAAACACTCACAACAAGGTAGGGCTTATTTGAAATGTTGAAAATGCTTTAATATATCAATTTTAAACACAAAGAGCCAGTTAGATCATATTTTTCTCCAAATTTACAAATTTTAGCTCACACTGTGAGGCAATACAAACCTACTTGCAACATCCTGGATCTTTAAACAACTGATTACACCCTCATGTTGCCAGCATGCTCATTCATCATTAAGATTCGTATTCACTTCTAACTCCCGTGTTCCCATTTCTTCCCAGAAATGGTTGAAAAAGTTGATGACAGCTTATTTACTGATGTTTTCACACACACACATTTTGTATTGGTTCCAAAAATAGCACTGGAAACTATAGGGGAGACTTGTGGATGTGTGTTTGTGCAGATCAAGAGTCTGTCACTGTGTGCGCATGTGTGTGTGTGTAATTGAGACTGAGTGTGTGTCTGCGTGTGTGTTTCAGAGATCCACCGAGACTTCTTACACAGGCCTCCCTCAGGATACCTGCCAGAAGAGATCTGGAGGAAAGCTGGTAAGAGCCAAACATCCCTTTTTTTTCCGCTATTGTCTCCATGATTGACCGCGACACAGACTAACAAAACACACACACACACAATCACCATCATCAGTCTTCACGGGCCTCACCCTGGCTACTGAGACAGGCAGAAAAGAGCTTTTGCAGCCGTAGGTCCATCAGGCCAGAGGATTGGAGACACTCTGTGTCATTAGGGCAAAATGTCCTCCATCTGTCACAACTATGAAAGGCCACTGCAGTTAAAGCTGCAGTGAAAATGCAGTCACCTGGCCCAAGGCAGGCCGCAGCAGCGCAGCACAGCTTGGAGCTGAACACTCAAGTTTTTTTATTTTTGTTTTTTTATACCTCTTTTTTCATTGTGATTGTTTTCTAGCCTCATGCACAGTACATGAATGTATTCCTGAAGTTAATCAAATGCAGTTCATTTCGATGTACAGACAAACAAATCTGGACCAATGTTTCTCATTTTTGACTCAGTTTGTAGACAAATGGAAAGCAGGTGGGAGTGTTGCACTGCATGGGCCTTCTTGTATACTGCATGTTAGATAGAGCCCATCCCAGGAGTCATCTGGCTCAGCCCTTGTTCCACCCCAGTCCCAGCACTATTATGTTGCAGTCATACTCCAATACCCTGCGGAGGAAAGATGCTGCTGCTGTTGGCAAAATACTGTGCTGCATTTTCACCAGCAGAAAAAGCTCTTTTAATTGCAGTTGTTTTTCATACAGGTACTACAAGTATCCCGCTCTCCCCAGCACTAAAGCACCTCCAAAACAAGCAGGGTGAGTAACATATCTCACTCCCAACATCTCACCTCTAGTGTTTGTGTGTGTGTGTGTGTGTGTGTGTGTGTGTGTGTGTGTGTGTGTGTGTGTGTGTTTGTGTTTGTGTGTTTGTGTATGTGTCACCTCTATCTCAGCAGCCAGGTAGTCTGCCTGATGGAGCTGCAGCACCTCTTGCTTTTAATTAAAACCAGACACGTATTCTCTGGTCTGGTTCAGGTTGAGAGACTGCAATGCTTTTGAAAAATAAGATCTGAAGTGTGAAAAAGCAGACAGAAATAACACGTCTCAGGGACTTGCCAAATCCCTGTGGAATTAAAACGTTAATATTGCTGCCCCCATGTTTTCCATTAAGTGCTAATTGCCCCAGCATCTGCTATGCAGTCTCCTTGATAAGAATTAATTAAATTTGCAAACTAATCTTAGTGGTGCATGCATTAGGCCAGATAATTGAGAAGCTCAGGATAATGCAGATAGTGTTTGCAAGAGAGAGAAGAAAGAGGAGGAGGAGGGGTGAAAGAAAAAAGAAAAAAAGAAGTAGTAGAAATGAAATGAAGGATAAAGGTAGAGACAGGATGAGGAGAAAGTGTGGAGACGTGTGTCTGAGTGTGACTGTGTTGACAGGATTGGCAGAATACTAACTTTTTAGCATATGAGCATAGGAATCAGACACTGACATGCACGCATGTACATATAGATATAACATGCACCGCCCCACTCCTCCACCCTCCCCAACCGCCTATCGTTTTGCACAGTAGTTTGAAACAACTGGAGTGGAGCGGCGAGGAAAAGTGACAGTTATTTATGAGTTCTCTCTCAGACAAACACTGACTGGAGGAAATAGAGAGCAGTGGAGAAGACAGTATCAGTCTCGCCTCCTACTTGGTTGGGCTAACACATCTGGAGAGCCACTTGTATGTGTGTGTGTGTGTGTGTGTGTGTGTGTGTGTGCGTGTGCGTGTCTCTACTTGGCACATCTGGAGGAGGTGGAGCACGAGGGAAAAAAATCATTTAGTCTGTAAAAATGTTGCTGTCAATGATGGCAGAAGAAAAAATGACATTGTAGGGGAATTCATACCTTGTGATCATCACATTAGTGTTTGATTAATAAATAGTGTATATTTGGCAACCTATTTCTCATGTGGAATCACGTACTGTACTTTTGTTGTGCACCTTGAGGCTGATAATGAAAGATGGCAAAATGTAATCACTCCTGCCTCTTACCGAGAAGGGGCAGGGGGAAGTTTCTATTTTAGACTGCCATCTGGAAAGGAGTCTACACACCTGCCTGTTGTAAAAACACAGCCTCCTCACTCATACAGTTCATGCTTGTGCTGGAAGAACAAAAGGGCCCGTGATAAAATCTACAACGTAGGAAGCCCTGCAGTGGAGATATGTGTGCCTACTGCTGGGGAAATTATCCACTCTCTATAAACTCCATCTAACAACTTCTTTTAAAATTATGACAAGATGAAAATCGTGCAAACAGGGAATCCCACGCAGGATGTTGGATGAACAGCCAAGTTGGTGACAAAACTTTGGAGACATCTGCTGTTGTCAGCACTGAAAATTATTGTGGCCAGACGTGTTTGAATTAATTATTGAAGTCTGGCTGTTTCCCTTTTCTGGCAGAAAGTTTTAAATCTTGGATGATGTACATCTGTTCGCTGAGACACAACAAGATGGCAGCTTAAAGAGCCTCAATAAAGGATGAAGGAGCAGACAGGATGGGACGATGGTCTTAAGCACTAACACCTCTCACTCTCTCTCTCTTTCTCTCTCTCTCTCTCAGAGGAGGCTGTGAATGAGGTGAAGCGACAGGCGATGTCAGAGCTGCAGAAAGCGGTGTCGGACGCCGAGAGGAAGGCTCATGAGATGATTTCAGCTGAACGCTCTAAAATGGAGAGGGCGCTGGCCGAGGCCAAGAGGCAAGCCTCTGAGGACGCACTAACAGTCATCAACCAACAGGAGGACTCCAGTGAAGTGAGTATCACAGACCCCCTACCCTCATTTTGCCTCATTCTCCTCTCACTTGTTCTTAAAATTCTTATTGTTCTGGTTTCTTTTCAACATTTTCTAGCTCCATCCATTACCCTTCACTTTGTTCCTCTAAGCTGTCCTGTATTGTGTAATCCATACAGCTGGCTGCTCTTGGTTTGGTGCTGCAGCAGGTTGTCATCATTATTGCAGAAGCAGTCCAGTTGTCTTTGTAAATAAAAGCAGACAGACCCAGATGGTTGGAGCAGAGTGCCAGGCTGAGGCCATTACAGAGCAGTTGACCACCACCTGCTGGTAACACAAACCAGTGGTGATGGAACAGGTCTTAAAGCCTTAAAATTAAATCTCTGTGCAAAGAGTAACAGGAAAAATCAGGGCCAGACAAATAAACTAGATTATGTAATTGACTTATTTTAAGTTTCAACATTTATTTATGTAAGAAAGAGAAAGCGCTGTGATATCCTGGGACAAAAAAGAGACTTATTTTTATCAACCCACTCTCTCCCCACTGTCTCACCAGAGCTGCTGGAACTGCGGGAGGAAAGCCAGTGAGACGTGCAGCGGCTGCAACACGGCTCGCTACTGCGGCTCCTTCTGCCAACACAAAGACTGGGAGAAGCACCACCATGTCTGTGGTCAAGGCCTCCAGGGGCTGCCAGGGGGCAGCAGTGTCCCTTTAGGCACCCCCTCCTCCTCCTCCAGCTCCTCAGCATCATCCAGCGCGCCCCCCACCCACTCGGAGAGCACTCCTCCAGGACCCCTGTCCCTGGCAGTCCAGAGCAGTATTGCGGGAGGGGCTGGCAACGGCAGTGGAAGTGTCTCTGCCAGCCCCAAAGAGAGCAGTTCCAGCAGTGCCTCTCGCTCCACAACTCCAGCTACCCCCGCCCTACTGGATGGCACCTCTCGCTGACGTCTGACCCTTGTCCCTCCCCTGAATACTGATGCGACAGTGCCCACACTCCACACAAAACCAAACTGAGGAATCTTCATCGCACATTGCTCCCTTTCCTCCTCCTCAACTTCTGCCCTTATTTCCCTCTTATCCTAAGCTCCTCTGAAAATCTTCTCACTACCTGATGACAGACTCAACTTGTCACCTTCCCCTAAAAATGGCTTTTTCTTTGTCTCTTTCACAAACACATACAAAGATTCCAGGCTGGGGTTCAGTGTAGTGTAAAGCATGAATAAGTGCAGTGTCTCCTATCTCTGTAACAGAAACATATCAGACGTGTTTGCTGAGAACATGAGCTTTGATGCAATGTAAGCGTGGTAAACGGTGTCCACGTAAGGACACGAGACAAGGGCTGTAGCAAGGCAACATCGATGGGGGGATGACTAGGCCGATAAGCACTTGGGTAGGATTTCCCTTTAATTAAGTACCAATGAGAGAACAGCACCCAGCCCTGAGATGTGCACTACTAGTCCAAACAGTTGACTGATGTGGCACTTTTTCTACAGTGTCCTAATGGAGACAGGCAAGGAGCATAATACCTTTTTTCAAACGGATGACGGAAGGGGAAAAACCTGTGATGCGATTAATTCCTCAGAAACACAGCTTAGTATTTATTAAAAGTTTCTTTCTGGCTTTAAGGGAAAATAAAGAAAATCCAAATATTCTAAATAAAGAATAATAGTGATGATGATGATGATGCTGATGATGAGATGATGATGATAACAATAATGATATGAGAATAAATTAATTTTAAACTGCTAACTACCTTGCTAGCGAGCCAAGAAAATCTACACCGGACTCACCTCTCTGCACCATTGTGAACCCAAATGAATTCAAAGATGAAAAATAACATGATCCAAACCTTTGTATTACACTGCCAAAGTGAGTAAGTAAGCGATAAGGAGAAGCACTCATCTTATAACCAAACGCAAAGCAACATCACCTCCTCAGCAGATAAGCCAGCCCTGAGAGGACCAGGCTGCAGAGAAGCTGCAGAACGGGACCCAGAGATAGTCAGACATAAAAACAACAAAAAAAAAAAAAAACAACACAAACAACAAAAAAACCAACAAGAAAAAAAAAAAAAAAAAACTGTGACCTGCTTTGATCTGCAGCTGCCTCCTGCAGTCTCGACAAAACTACAGCGATTCCTCAGTGAAGGCCCAGACTAGTGAATATGGACAATGCTGTGAACTTGCTTACCAGAAAGACTTAATGAAATGGATAGAAACCCTGCCACAGTGTGATTTTTGTGAAAGGTAACAGAGAGGGAAAAATAAGGAAAGGAAAGGAAAGGAAAAGCTACACGGCCTCAAAGGAGATGAAGAGACATACATGGCAACGGAGCTGCCAAAAACCTCAAAACTAGCTTGAAAACATTTTCCAAGAAAGCACCGCATACTACGGAGATGTATGGGAAGATTGTTTTTAAGTGTTTTTTTTTTTTTTTTTTTTTTTAAAAAAGCTCCACAATGAGGAGATATTTCAAGGAATTGCTGTTACCTTTACATTCACTCCCTCCTTTTCCAAAGCATGATTAACAGATGAAAGAGCCTAGTAAAGGGTGGTGTAGACTTGATTATCCTCTCTCTTTCTACCTCCCCTCACCCCACACCTCCCTTCTACGCCCCCCCTCCCCCCGACTACTTGACTCAAGTTTGCGCCTATAACCACAACCTGCTTTGAACAGAGCCTCAGAGCAGTCACATGGGAAGGGTTCGAACCTGCTTGTAGATATTGTTCCTCTTTTTCATTTTTCAATAATGTCTCTTGTCGCTGATGTCCACATGTGCTGCCCTTGTGTGTATCCAAAAAGATGGACTTTGTTTTTGGTTCTGTTACCTTTCATTTTCCTCCTTTGAGTTTGGGCTGAGCAGTGAAGTCAGAGCAAGGACACTCGTTTCATGAGAGGAAGTCCCACATTGTACTTATTGTTTGATTTTCTTGTATCTATATTAATGAGATGAAACCCCTCTTGTAGAATATTTTGTATTGCTCGCATTGTAAGACAGTGAGAGGACGGAGGTGCAATATGAAGAGAATTCAGCTACTGAATGGAACCTCAGCAACTGCCCATAGGGTGTCATATAATATAGATACATATAAATATATTTAAAGTAACATCGGTAACTTAATGTGAATGTACATAGTATTTAAAGAGGTCCAAAAATGTGTTTGCCAAATAACAGAAACCTTTAAAGTTTAATGTCCAGAATATGATTTTCTCACAGTACATTTCTTTCTTGAATTTATCGATTCCTCTTTTTTTTTCTCTCATACAAGCTAAACACTTTCAATTTTCACTAAAATCAAAGTGTCATGTGACCCTGAGTGGAGGAGACTGTTGGTAACAGAGGTAAAGTGGCTCCATAAAAGGGATGAAAATAGATTAAGGGTGGATGGACAAGACAAGACAAGACTTCCTCATTTTCTAAATTGATTAGGCCTTAATTTAATATTTCAAAAGAATCACCCACATTGTATTACATTAAGAAGAACCTCTGACAAATAATAAGATGTTTATGTTCCACTAAAATGTTATTGATTTGTATGGAATGGCACTATTGAGGCGAATTCTTGTTGATGCCATGTGCGTCATCCACCCCAGGTCAGTTTACATCCCGCAGGAGGGGACTCAACAGTGTGTGTCTTGGCGTGCTATTGATTAAAAAGCCCCAATATAGTCAGTACTTTAAAAAAAAAAAAAAAAAAAAGGGATAATGGTGTTGTCTCAGTTTTAAATTTAGTTCATTCACACCTAGGAACTGTCAAACTTGATATAACATGTCAAGTGTTGTGTTTCTCACCATCCTTTTGGCTCAAGTGCCACTGTAGTGACCCTCTCTCTTGGTCCTCATCAACCCGTGTGTGTGCGTGTGTGTGTGTGTGTGTGTGTGTGGTTAGGAGTGTTTGTTTCCCCCAAGGTGCAGGACAAGCCATTACTGTAGGGTTAAGTGATATGCCAGTGTTAAGCTACAGTAAACTTCAAAGCTAATTTTGACACACAATCTTTGAAATGTTGCTGTTTTTTTTTTTTTACTGATTATTTTTTATTTGTAAAGATGCAATGTGAGCATAAGCTTGAGATCTGGGTCCAGGCCAAGAGAGATGCATCACCTCTTTAGGTTTATGTTTTTTTTTTGTTTTTTTTTCAGCTCTTCCCACATGCTCCAGCAATATGATCACCCCTCGTAAACACATGTATGTTAAACAGTCTCAAGGCCTTTAAAAAAATTGTGTGAGCATAGCTTCTCAAACAAATTTTATATTGATCATTGTAAACCCTGCGTGGTTGGCCTCATACACACTTGGACCAAACTTGAAAGAAAAAAAAAAAAAAGTAGGTAACTTGCTTTCTGCAGTGATTGGAATTTTTTTTTTTTTGGACTATCTGAGACATATAATTCAAATGGGATAGCTACAAGGTACCCTGCATCTGTGTGTAGCATTGTATGCATTTGTGTTATGCTTACCGTAATTTGGTGTTGACCTCAGCCTTTTTGTGTCACCCCCCCCACCCCCGCCACCCCCCCCCCCCCGTGTCTAATTCCTCCACTACTACCACAGACCACTCTTCACGACCCCCTCTCACACAAGCTACCTCCTGTGACCATACAGCTAACCACCAGGAGAGGTTGACCTGGACTTTGAAAAGCTGGGCTGACAGCAGACATGGAAATGCACATCCAAAAGCGATCATA